GGAAAATGATAGCTTCCAAAACATATATACCTCCACTGACACTAATAGCTAGAATTCCACACTGAGAAGGCGAGGGGGCCAGTGAGGACAGAGATCATACAGAAAGCATCTGCAGAGAACAAATATGTACCACAGTGGAGAACACCACACTACATCCAGAAGCAAATATGCTCTTAACCCAAAACTACAAAAAATTGAAAAGGGTGGAATATAATACAAGTATGATGATCCAGCCTCAACCAAACAGCCGAGGTTCTACAACTCGGGTTGGATTTAAGGGGTCATGGTACCCATATCCCACGTTGATGGCCAGGCCAGTTGTACTGCAGATATATACATCCTTGTGATAGGATCCCTACCAGTAACCATAGAATGATGTGTTTCGAACCACTGGATTTATGAAAGAAAGAAAGCAACACCAAAATGGACAATCATTCTGAAGAAGTCCAAAAGGCAACATCCCAGGTCTGGATTGACAGGATCATATGCCATACTCCACCAAAATCCAGAACTCACCCAGTCTGGATTTTCAAACAGTTGCATTCAGATTTTGAGGAGATAGTGGACCCCCTGCATGAACAACATAAGACCTGACAGTGTTCATAAGAGGGTCCAAGCACCTCCCACCAGATAGCTAAGCATCAAATCTGGACTGGTTTTACGAGAAGGCTCTCACATAGGTTGGTCCTGCTTCTACCGACATCTGGGAAAAAACTTCCAGGGATCCAGGTAGGAGGGTCCCCAATTTCGGCCTCTTCTCCAAGAGTGAAAAAACTCAACACTCTGAAGGTAAATCCTCCATCCACCACCCCAGCTACTGGGAACTGGGTGTAGTAAGGACTCCCGAGCTTCACTAGTAAAAGTATGGGGGGGGGGGACATAAGCATTGGGGAGTCGAGGCTGGAGACAGTGCAACCGGTGAACCACATTCCCTTGATTTTAAAAGCAATAATTATCTTGACTGATTCAGCTCTAAGATCAGCAGGGACTGGCAAAATCCCCTTTAGCTTTACTCATGATAGTTCATGAGTAGCATTCCATTAGAAATATTGTAATATGATATCACCATCCAGAATTGTGTCCAGATGGTCTTATGGAACACCTCATCTTGACAGAGTCCATTGCAACCAAGAACCAATATATAGGTTGCTAATGCAGAATTTAAGTACAAGCATACTCTACAGGGCAACACTCGCCACTGAGTGGGATCCAAAAAAAATCAATAGGGACCCTAGAAGAGAAACAAACAATAACTGTAAGTCAGATAAAACGTTACTAACCACCCTGTTAAAATATAGTACAGGTAGTCAACACAGCCACAGGGGTGGAAGACGAAGAGGAAACTGCCAGATCGTGAAAGTAATGAGATATGAATGTATTGGGAGAAGTCCACATACAGGCCCGCAAAATATCTCCCGAGAAGAAGGACGGAAACGATTAAGAGAACCAATGGAATGAGGAGTGGAAGGAGGGGGCCTTGAGACACGAGGGGAAGAACATGCAGAAGTACAAGTGGAAATAGAATATGGTCGAGCAGCCAAAGACGAGAAAGAAGACTGCAAACGTGCTGTATCAACTTTGTCTTCTAAAGATTTTGGAATTCCAGCAAATAGTTAAGACCGAAGAAAAGGTGCTTCCCATAAATCTCAAAGAGCAAAAGAAGCATAGTGAATACTCTCCAAAAATGCATTACAACTCAACAAGTCCCAGCAACAGACCAACCACAACACCAAGGCAAGTTCTGAAGAGGACAAACATGTCATAATAGTGACCAGTAAATGGCCCAGTTCATCGTCAAATTGTTGAGGCGATCAGTGATATGCTTCATACAAAAGTTGAAGGGAAGAGAAGTATCTTAAAACATTAAGAAGAGTCAAACGAATCCGCAAAAATTGCGACCTGTTAAGAGAGATAACAGGTTCGTACCTGGCATCCCATAGATCCAACCTTTGATGATACGCCAGGGCATGTTGTTCAGATAAATAAGGGGGGGATAGCAAAACCGACATAATTATGTTGCAAACGTCACTGCTTGCACAGCAATATCAGGAGGAGGAGGAAAAACTAAGTAATCCCCTTGAGAACAGTTGGACAACAAAGCACGGTAGACTCAAAAGCAACTGGTTGCATCTCCAAAACGTCACAAACACGTGTAACTAACTGGAGAAAAAGAGACAGAAGGTGGCTGATCAGATGAGTCCTCAGGAGAGTGCCCCCCCCCCCAACTACTGACCACTAATAGATAACAAAGGGGGAATAGACAAAGGCTGAGTAACCTCCGTGCTTGAAACCGTTACATGGGAATTCATGTCCCTTTTCTTTTAAATAAAAAACAAAAAACAAATTCAATGAAATGTGTCTATGGATAACAAAATGAAGAATTCCCGATTATTAAAAAGTGAAAACTAAGAAAATGTAAATCATGAAATGTTAGTCTGAATGCTCGCACTTTGTTGAGAAAAAGTGATTTTATTGTCTGCATACAGTGCTTATATACAGTACCTGCATAGAGGGTGTGTTGGGGCCAGCATAAAGTTTTGCAAATTAGATATTGCCAAGGTCAGTCGAGTGGGGTATATAAAGACTGGAACAAGCAAACACAACGTTAGATGGCAATGATGAAGATCGAGAAATAACTATTAGTGTAAGCAGAGGTAAGTATGTTTTGGAATTATGTTTATTTTATTGTGGTTTGACAATATATTCACAACAGATATTGATATTTCTTATGCTTTTACACAAATATGATTATTTACAATTACCCTTAGAAATAATCCACCTTAAATTAAAAGCACAATAATGCAAATTCTCAAGCCTGTTACATCCTGAAAAATACACAACTACTACTTCACAAGCACTGAAGTAGTAATATATAATAAATTGAAATAAATAGCTTACTCTAATGAGTAAAAAAGACAGAAGATGCCAATTTTATATATGCCAATAAATTAACCTAATATTATATCAATACATATTTCTTCTACATTATCAAAAACTATTTTTGATTTAGAACTTTCATGTAGACTGAATATTAACCTTTCTCTTACTTATATGCTGTTCAGCTGTTGCCACCTAACATCACCAAGTAAATACAAAATGATATTTGATACTGCAAATTGCACAATATTACACACCAACATTAAATATTCATTCTATAAATACTAATAAAAGTGTGAAACACTTAAGATGTAATGCTCAAAAAGTGGTAAAATATTCAACACTGAAATTAGTGTAAAAGCAATGAACCTTTCTTAAGAGAAAAATACTCATTAACAAATAATACTCTCAAAGTCTAGACATTAAATAACTGTAATCATAAATTCTGAAATGTCTATTTACACATTCCACTGATAATTATCAAGAAATACCATGCTTTTATTATTTTTCTTATTGTGTACACATCAAAATTCTATTATTACTTTAAAGTGGTTAAGATATCTAGAAAATACTAGCATGCTACTTCATTTATTAGAAATATGAAAATGTTTGAAAGTATAAACAATAACATTCTCCCATAAAACAATAAACTTTTAATATGTACATTATTACTAAACTTTAGAAACAATATAATAAATTTTACAAGTAACAGTCTTATAGTCCTATGCATAAGAACGTTTTTTCACATTGCACTTGTTAAGCTAGTTATAACTCACAAATTATCTCTGGAAATAATGCAACTCAGAACCAAAATTTTAGGATTCTAACATGGTAGGACAGAGAAAAATATAGTTTCTCTCCTTCAAATAACAATATGTTATTACAAAGGAAATACTGCATTAAAGCAAAATACTTTTGAACATAACACAAAAATACAATAGAAAACTAAAAGTGACTTACAGTGATGAAAATTACATCAATGTTACATAAGTTTAAGCAATTTATACCACCACACCAACATGAACATTTTACTTACTGATATAATACTAAGAATTTCAAATTATTACAGTCAAACTAAGATACATAAAACTGAATTTACATTAACAAAAAAAGCTAAAAATTTACCAATATATAAAACATTATACATTAGCCTCATATCAGCAAACCTTATTTATCAAATTAGCCTCTACACCACCTGAAATTCAAGAAAAAAGGAATCTTCAGAGAAGTCATGTCACAATAAAATGACTTGCGACTGCGACTATCCTTTATTACATAATATACATCACAAGTGCTATTATAGAGTGAGAAATTTAATTTACAGTAGGAAAAACAAATTGAATTGGAGATAAGCAAAAAGCAACCAGCACATTTTTCCTGATAAAAAAGGTATGTTAAATTAAATTAGCATTTTCATAATCTCTTTACATAGGAAAACACGATTAAACAGATGACAACACTTCAAACGAAAGTAAAAATAACTAAATAAAATCAATTATTGTTATAAATGCAAGTAAGAAATAATCAAAATGAATGCTACAAAGAGAAGTAAAAAAAAAATGAAATCAGTTATTACAATGCCCAAATATTAAAACAAAACACATGCTGACCAGTATAATTTGGAGATAAGTATCATCAACTAAAATTAAAATCCATACAGATATTTTTCAGGAAACATGTTTAATACTCCAAAACACTTAATCAGTAACACTTGTTGCAAGGACACTTAGAACATTAATATAATTACAGAATTAAGGAAAAACAAAACAATTGTATGTTTCACAAATACATCACCTATTCAAGACCAGGATTTCATCATTAAAGGCATCATCATGATAATGCCTTTAATGGCAAAACCATGGTTGTGACTAAATGATGTATTTGTGAAACATTCAATTTTTTTATTTTTCCTCAATTCTGT